GTGTGTGTGTGTGTGTGTGTGTGTGTGTGTGTGTGTGTGTGTGTGTGTGTATCCATGTATATATGCATATCCATGTATATATGCATCGAAAAAGTTTCAAAACCTACCATTATTTATTAAGCTTTTAGTTGTATACCTATAAAAAAACAAACAAAGATCTTAGTATCTTAGTAGATGCATTAAGATGTTAAAGGAGAACTATGGGTTTAAGGCTTTTCCCCATAGTTCTCCTTAGGGTAACGGAAGGCCACAAACTAGCGTCCTCCCGTCACCCTAGGCTCAGTATACCGCGAGCTGTAGCTCGCGCTATACTGAGACGCCGCAGCTGAAGCGGATCCCGACAATTTTGCCGGGATCCGCCCAGCTGCGTGACTGACAGCGGGCTCTGCCTATCTAGAGGCAGAGACAGCTGTATCCGCCCACCCCCCCCGTCCGATCCGCCAGGCAGCGCTCGCGGATTGGAGCGGGGAGGGGGCAATCCAGCCTCTCCCCTGTCACGGCAGAGAGCTGTGACAAGATCGAGAGGTGAGCGAACGCCGGTATATGTTCGCTCACCTCCCGATCTACTGAGCCGACCTGTGACAGTCTCATTGTCACAGGTCGGCTAGAACTATGAGGTGAGTGAAAAGCACTCACCTCATAGTTCTCCTTTAAGAAGCAGTACATACAATCCCATCTTTGTTGTGCTCGATTAAACAGTCTCCAGTGATTATCTTTGTGTTGCTATACATTATTTTTTACTTTGTGCACTACTAAACATGTTTTGATTTTTGATTTTTTTGTACGAACTTATAATTTATATCAGTTATCTGCAATAAAATATATTTGATTTATCATTAAAAATCTTTACATGTCTGTTCCAGGAACAAGCTGAATACTGGCTGTCAGTGCTGTTTATGCTACAAAGATTAACGGAATTGGATATGAAAAAGATCAAAGTTGAGGAGAAGGTATTTATCCTGGCACCTGCTTTCCAGATGACTTCTCAAAGCAATCAGTGTTGCCAAGTAATTACACTGGTGACTCAGTCAAGGGAATATAGCTGATCCTTGGGGAAATGACATGTTTGGCGCTGTGAAAGACACCTTGGTACAGAGCTTATCTAGTGAATGTCAAGTTCGGCTCAACCGTTTAAAAAAAAAAAGGATTGTAATATTCATTATCTTCATGAATACCCTGATTTGTCTGTTAATTTTGTTTTTGTCTTTTTACTATGTATGTGATTTTAGTTGCATATATGTTCACTTGGGAGTTTGGACTGAACAGTATGATTTAAATGCTCATAACACGATACATTTAAAACAGACAGCTTGACCTAAAATACTTATAGAAGGACTCATAAATGTACAGCACACATGCAGTATTTGTCCTTGTTGTGCCATTGTTTGACTTTTATTTCGGGTTATATTCGCCAGGAACACTAGTAATGATAGTTAGACCACAGTGGTTTGTATTATGTTAATTTGTAAGAGTTCTAAGTTGAAATCGATTTTTGTAAGCTGGTACTGAGATGATGGCTGTGACTTTATGATATAGATGCATTGATGGGGTGGTATGGTTACTGTGCAGTGCCTGGTGCATTGATATTAATAGATAAGACATCTTGGTACTACACCACACCAGCACAAAACATAAAACTAGAAACTAACAAAAATTCCATTAAGAATTCCTTAAAGGAGAACTATCCTCCCGTCACCCTAAGCTCAGTATACCGCGAGCTACAGCTCGCAGTATACTGAGACGCAGCAGCTGAAACGGATCCCGACAATTTTGTCTGGATCCGCCCAGCTGCGTGAGTGACAGCTGGCTCTGCCTATCTAGAGGCAGAGCCAGCTGTACCCGCCCCCTCTCCCGTCCATTTCGCCAGTCAGCGCTGGAGGATCGGAGCGGGGAGGGGGGAATCCAGTCCCTCCCCTGTCACGGCTCTCTGCCTCTGACAGGATCGACAGTTGAGCGAACGCCGGTATGTGTTCGCTCACCTCCCGATCTACTGAGCCGACCTGTTTTCATTGTCACAGGCCAGCTAGAACTATGAGGCTGAGTGAAAAGCACTCACCTCATAGTTCTCCTTTAGGGCCTGTTCACATGACGTCCGTTTTCTGTGCTGACCTGATCCGTACGCTCCTGCACTAAAAATGCATCCCGATGTATCCCTATGTGTTTTATGGGCTACAGTTCTCATGTGCGCAGTCCGTTCAGGTTATGACAGAAAAAATACTTTTTTTTTTACTGGAACGCATCAAAATCGCGGCATAAACGCACTGCATCAGTAGCACCACGTCTGCAGATCTGCACCTGATATCATGTGAACAGGCCCTTAACACGGTGGGGGTATGCGGATGCAGAATTAGGGCGGGTATAGGAGCCAAGCAAAGGGGGTATGGACCTGGATTTCTGAATAATTTAAACAAATTAAAACCGGATTTTCTTCATTACTGAGCAAGAATCCTTAACACAAGGGAGTATGTGGATGCAGAATTGGGGCGAGGTATAGGAACCAAATGAAGAGGGCAGGGACCTGTATTTCTGAATAATTTTAAAAGAATTAAAACCGGATTCTCTTCATTACTGAAAAAGAAATCAAAGTAGAGAAATCAACTTCATAACATGCGAGTTAGATTGTCAGTAACTGTACTTTCATTACATGTTTTGATTGTACTTTTACTATACCAACTTAAAGTAATTGACTGTGCTCCTTGTAGAACTGCATATAGGAGAGTTCTCTTTATCCTGTTTTCCCCTATATTAATGCGGTCTTCACTCTCTGGACATTGTTTAGGTGGCGGCAGTGAATAAGTATGATCCTCCCCCAGAGGTAATTGCTTCACGGGATCATATGGCCAATGTTATGTACAGCACGATCCAGCCACAAAAGATCTTGGACAGGTAATTTCAGTACGGTTAATATCTCAAATGCTATTGTGTGATATTTCTGATGTAATGATAGTGACTGCTGTTGAAGTACACCATTCATGAGAGAAATATTAGAAGAGGGGGGGAGGGGGCATCACTGTCCTTTTTGATGAAGTGCTAGTTGCCTGGATTTGTCTGGTTCCAGTACATTTAAGTCACAGACCCAGAACAAGCATGCCACATATTAAAGTCAGAAATAAGTATGGATTCCAAATCGCTATATTTTTTGTGGGGCAGTGACTGAGAAAGTATTGAAGCCAAAGCATTAGCATGAAAATCGGGTAACAAGCAATTTCAGGACAGGTCAGCAAAAGTAGCTTGCATATTTCGCTTACAGGTTTTGGTGGTACAGTAATACATTGGTTTACGAGCATAATTCGTTCTGGAAGCATGCTTGTAATCCAAAGCGCTTGTATATCAAAGCGAACTTCCCCATAGGAAATAATGGAAATTCAGATGATTCGTTCCACAACCCAAAAATATTCATATAAAAATGATTACAATACAGTAATATAATATAATACTGTACAAAATATAAAGAAAAATAAACCAATTTCCGGTTACCTTTGTGGCCGGTGTGAGGGGGACAAGAGAGAGGAGGATTATTGTGTAGGACGACTTTCACTATCACTAACGGAATCACTGCTATCTCTCGGCTCAATGGAATCTTTTTCATTTCATGAAACCTTAACAAGGAATCTATCCAATGTGACATTGTGTTGTCCTCAAACAGACTCGCACTGCCACAGCCTTATTCGGTGGTTGTTTTTCTACAAAATGTTGCTCTTATTGCAAGACATTGCTTGTATATCAAGGCAAAATTTTTCAGAAATGTTTGCTTGTCTTGCAAAACACTCTCAAAACAAGTTACTTGTAAACCAAGGTATTACTGTATTCATTTGGTGGTATTTAATCACCACTACGGGTTGTTTTTTTTTACTGTATAATAAAAAAAGTACCGATAATTTTGAAAAAAAACCTGTTCTCCCTACGTTATGTTATAAAACATTTATTATTACCTAATTTTTTGGTAAAATATATAAGACGGGGTCAGGTCGGGTAAATAGACACCAAACATGTCAAGCTTTAAAATTGCGCGCACCCGTTAAATCGCAAAAAACTACCATACTCAAAATTGACCAAAGCCAATGCTTTAAAAGCTTTAACCGCTCATCAGTTTAGTGTTATCAGTGATTGATGACCCTAGAATTATTGCTCTCATTCCGACGTTCGCAGCGATATGTAACATGTGCGGTGCAATGGATGTAATCGGCGTTTTCGCACGTAGGCAGGCTTGACGCATGTTTGCGTGTGCATGTGGGGGCGGGGGACTTAAATTTTTTTTTTTATTGCTTTGATATGTGATTTTTAATTTTTTTAATTTTATTTTGTAACACATTTTTTTAAAGCTTTTTTTTTTCACTGAACTTTATTGTGATCACATATGTGATATCCAATTTGCAGTGACAGGTCCTCTTTATGGAGACATCAGGGGTCTTAAGACCCCTAATGTCACCTAGGGACCCCCAGAGAAGCTGATGAAGCAGAGACCTGCTTTACCAGCTTCTCTCTGGTTTCTGTACCGGAAAATGGCACTGAATCCATGAAGTGATGTAATACACATCACTGCCTGCATTTAGAAGAGGAGGAGGAGATCAAACGGAGTTCGTGTACTGAGCTACGTTTGATCTCCGGCCGCAGAGCTGCTGTGCTGGTCTTGGGCTCACACCGGGAACAGCGGAGCCCGGTATCGCCAGCAGCGTGGCGACGGAGGGGGGGCCCGCAGACCCGACCGGATATTACAAGCGATCGGGCGTCTCTACAGACGCCCGAACGCTTGTATGTAAACAGCCATCGCTGGCTGTTTACATTCAAAGCCGGTTTCCCGCTCATGCGCGGCAGCCATGAGCGGAACGGGATAGGACGTCTAAAGATGCCCACCCGCCCTCAAGAAGCCACTGTCCGGCCGTTTAATTACAATGGCCGGACAGCAGATAGTTAAAGTAGCCACATTTTTTTTTTACAGTTTTGTTGCTCTAATCCCTCTACACTCTATCCAAAACTTTAGGGATGCATCAATACCGATACCGAGTATTTGGGTGAGTACTCGTACCCGCCTAAATTCTCTGATACTTATCCCGATACGGGAACTTCCATTCAGAGGGAGATTCCCTCTGATCGGCAGTGCCGGTAGGGAACATGGAGCCGGCTTCCAGGCCAATCAGCATGGAGCCAGTTTACCTGCCAATCAGAAATCCTGGCTATGGGTAATAACCCACCTCCCGGCTTCCTAATTATCCGGGAAGCCGGCATCCTAGCCAAACGGCATGGAGCTAGCTTCCCGGGTAATCGAGAAGCTGGGCAGTTGGTAATGACCCGCTGCCTGCCTTCCTGATTACCCAGGAAGCCAGCTCCATGCTACTGGAAGTACCGTTATCTGTGCTAGCTATCGGCGAATACCACAATATAAATATTGGTACTCGATACTGAACAATCTGTATTGGTGCATCCCTACAAAACTTAAAAAAGACTTTTGTTTTCAGTTGAACTTAAAGTTGGGCTTCTTTTCACAGGTTCAGAGGGCAATAAACCATAAGAAACGGATTGGATCTCTGTGCCCGGGAGTCACAAGTGTTATGTGCATTCGCCTGTACAAATTAATGACATGCTGCAGTTATATGCTGGTAGACCCTCATTTGAATGTATATAGGTGTCCATTGCAGAACCCAGACGCAGACAGTCTGGGTCCAGGGGCGCACATTCATACCTGTACCCATGTATACGCTCAGATGAGCGTTTACTAGCATATAGCTGCAGCCTGTCATTAATTTGTTCAGACGGCCGCACATAACACTTTAGAGATACGGTGCTTTCTTACAGTATACAGCCCTCTGCACCTGTGCGAATGTGCCCTAAACCTTAACATAATGTACTGCAAGGACTACACTTTCAAATGCTCTATTTATAACAAAATGTAGTGTCGCCCTGCAATGACCTACTACAGAAAGCCTGTTTCTAAATTCATAACTTTGTTGTGAACCCTGCGCCTCATTTCAATTGTATCTTATTTTAAAAAATATTTCTTTTAAATTCCATTTCTTTTAAAATGTGACATAAGGTCTTTACATATATAGAAATATATATTTGCTAATTTAGGTAACTCTTTCCCAAACCCCCCCATGTGCAGTATCAGTAAAGGACTGACGTGTACAAATCACACTGGCAAGCCATCTTCTTCTATTGCAGCACATTGCCGAATCTGGATACCGCCTACCCAATGCTAGTGCTGACAGGGCCCCAGTCCTGTGGGAAGCGGGAGCTAGCACACAGAATGTGCAGAGATTTCAAGGAGTTCTTCCGCTACGGGTAAGAGATATATCTGCCTTAGGACACAGTGTGCTTTCAATTACATGGAGATGTTAAGTGCTTCACCAGCCAATGTAAAATTAAATGAACCCTGTTAACATAGTGGAATAGATAAAATAGGCTTTGAAGTCCTAATCCTAATCATAACACTTTTGAGATTCACAGTGCTTTATCTAATGTAACAACCCTGTAGAATATTACACCTTAACCCTCTGTAGGAGAATGCATAGTACATATTAAAAATGAAATACAGTATGCATAGGGTCAGATCCACAAGAGAAATGAAACCCATGATACTAGAGAACATAATTGGATAGGTACATGTTGAGCTCAGTTAAATCCATTTTTTCCCCTAATATTTAGATAAATCTTAGAACCTATGCATATAAAAAGGTGCAGCTTAATAGTAATACAAAATTGTTCATTTCATAACACATTTCAGACGGCAAGAATACAATTGACAATGGTTTTTAACCCTTCCTTACCCAAGAGTTTGGGCTCTAAATTCATTTTATGGAACTAATTTACAAATGTTGTAATCTATACTTGTTTATATTTGTTTTCTTCCTTACTCACTGGGACATTGTGATAGGAGTTTTAAAAACTGATGAAGACATTGAAAAGCGCATCTATGGCAGAATATGTTTGATATCATGTAACAATTCAGCCTGCTTTCTTGGCAATAATTAAGCATCATCACCTCATTCCAATTAGCAAGAAGGTGATCCAGGAAATAGTAATCTACCTGGCTATGCAGTGGGGCAAAAGCGCATAAATCGCCAGAGCTGCTGTAAAAAATGACAAAAACATGTATGTATTTAAACTGCTATATGCCTGTAGTCCCAGTGTAAGTTTACCGTTGTTATACGCAATGGTGGGAAACATTTTGCAGGATAAAATTATATCCTATAAGCTGCTTAGATCTTGCAGGAGTTGCCTAATCTGAGAAAAGTAGTTCCCATGTGCTACAAAAATCAATATGTATGTAAAAGACTACAAACTTCACTGAATAATTACATATGTAAAGCATAAAATATACACTTAATTGTAAGAAAAGTACAACTCTTTTTAAAATTAATTTCCATACGGGCATTTTAATTACTCACTTTAAATGCTCTTTAGTTTAAAATGTTAGCAAGCAGATTTCTTGTTTATTTATTTGATTTGAGAAACAGATGGAATACAAAATAAACATGTATTGTGCTATAATCCTGCTGCAGTCTCCCCTTTAACCACTGGGTGGCTCCTCCATTACAGTAACCGTGCTGTATGAAAAAATATTGTGTTCTTTTTCTGAGCAACAATGCAATAACTTTTATAACTATAACTTACAACATTGCTGTTCAATAGGTGTGTCAGTAACCGCTGTGAAAAGCCATTCCACTTGTTGACAGATAATGAATATGTATGTGTTTCCTTTTGAAAGGTTTTTCAAAAGATATATTTATTTTCTTTTATCCATCTGCCAGTTTTTCTATATACAGTTCTATGCATCTTGGCTTTTCTCTAGGTTACTCAGTTATGTAGGCCCTGGTAACATCTAGTGTTTTTTCAGATGTTTCACCATATTTCAAGCACCCCTATCAGCATGCACATTGATTGCTAGTAGCCATTAAATGTGTATAAATATTACGTATAACCTATACATATAAACAATCCCTCTCTGGAGGAACAAACACTGTTTTCTCTGATCTTAATAAGTACTAGTCTGCGTCCTGGAGCCCGGGGGCTTTGTAGGGCGTTGGGTGGTATGAAGCCTCCATTCCAAGGTCCACATCTTGCCTCACACCTCAATATTTGTCTCATCAGTGCACAGTCCTTTATATATGTGATCTAACTGATGCTCAGGGCTTTCTTTCTTCCTTGCTGTCTCCTACTGCTGGGTGAAAAGGCTGAGTGCTGACCAAACACTACAAATGGTATATGTGCTGTCTGTTTATTTAGAGAACCCAGTAGAAGCACCTTGTTAGTCAAGAATCGACATATGCTTAGTTATCTGCTTGGACTAGCAGATGTTTTGTTTGCTTTATGCTATAGACTTGATGTACAAAGTTCTCATGTATTAAAGACTGTTTGCTCAATAAAAGTGCTGGACAAACCCTCTTGGACTGTTAAGTGTTCCTGTCTCATGCATGTTTTACTGCTGGGACTATCAGTTAATCCTGAAAAGAAGAGTTGGCACCGCTCCAACTGTGATGGCAGTACGTCTTTTATTGACGCATGGTCACATCACCGCAGCAACCACCACGGCCTTGATTGGGAGTCAACAGTCTGGAGTGCCATAGGTTACATATAACATATCAGTTAAACCTGTCCCCCCTCCTTTTTAGTCAAGTAAATAAAAATATTTGCTAAACTAACATGTTAATGTTATGCAATCTTCTATCCATTCAGCAAATGGAGCTAAAGTACTATAGTCTCCTGCTGTTTGCAGAACTTCAGTGTTTTCCCACAGCAGTGACTAATCCCTTATCAAACGGCTGAGTAGGAGGTTAAGGTTAGGGTTGCTGTAGGTGAAAATGATAAATTCAACTCTAACATCACAGAATCGGCTCTGAAAAGCTAAAACCAAACATCTGTCATATTTAAGTACACTGAATTTGGTGTGAAAAATGTGCTAAAATCCGTTCATCGTGCATAATTATATTGGAATAGTGTTACCTATACACATATAATTATGGGCATGGCTCTTTAAAGTCAGCGGGGGTCTATTTACTTTGTAAATTATAAACCAGTACAATGATAGTTTAAAAGAGAGAGGTTAAACTTCGACAATGTATTTTACCAGAATGAAATGTAGGTTTGTAGTAATTAAAAAAAAGAAAAATGGGGTTCCCCTTAAAATTCCAGCCAGGCCCTTATCCTGGCATGCAGCCTGGGTGGCCAGGAAAGGGAGGGAAGCAAGCCTGCACACGAACCCACCCCCTTCATGTACCATGCCATGTCAAATGCCTTTCAGCATTGGTGAGGCGGTAATTTAAATATACCACCAGGAATCCCGGGTGATGTCATGGACTAAATTTGATGTCACCTGTGATTCCAGTGATTCCGGGTGCTGAATTGAAATAACTGCACTTGGGAATCTATCATTTGGATTCAAGAGTGTGGGGGGTGTACATCCCATCCAAATTCTGACACTATTGACTTCAATGGTGTTTAGATTCAGGTTCATTTTTTGGCGTTAAACTGTCATTGAATTAAATAAGAACATGTTCGGGCAACTCTATTTAAAATCAGTCAAAGTAGCTGAAAAGCAAGCTTTTTTTTGCTGGTTTTCTCTAACTTTTAGTTCTTTGGGAATCCTTTTTCATATAATAATTTTTTTTTATAAAACAAAGATTGTATACATTATATATTATAAAACAACTGTTTAAAAACATAAACTTTAAATGCACATCATTGTAACTTCCATATTAGATGTTTAGGTATGTTTTTATGTATTCACTATTTGCTAAAATCTTGAGCTCTTTTTTCAAATTTCTGACGGAAAAGTCTCTCCTTTACCCATCAGTAGTGTGCTTGTTCTTTCTCTCTTTGAACTGCTAGGTTGTTTACACCTAGATGGCTATGAAAGTATCATTAGTAAAGGACAGCAGTGACCATCTTTTAGAACATAAAAAGGAGTGCACACCTGCTGATTTCAGCTTGCCCAATTTTCTGCATGGTGGAATTCACATATTTCAAGATGCCATATCCACAGATGGTTCCATGCAGGAGACTAAACATGTGTAATACTAAATCTTATACAAGATCACACAAATAGTTAGAGCAGAGTTATGTCAAGTTTGGAATTAAATAGCTTTTTTTCCTGCTAGGAAGCAGCTTGAAGTTTGAATGCCTGGAATGTCCAAAATGATGACATATGTTATGCATTATATATAGCCAGTAAATTAAATGCAAGATGCTCTTTTGCACTAAACACTATAGCCAGCATTTAGCTGTGCTAACTGCAAAAATAAAGTGTTTGAAATTTGAAAAGCTAACTCTGCAGTCAGAAGTTCTAGAGGCCTCTCGCATGACTTTTAATATTATCAACGAGTCATCGCTGTTGCTGTTTCTGCAACATTTGTGAAATTAGGAATTTGCTAGACTGAGGAAGCTGCAATAAAGGGCAGGAGTGTTAATTTTTCCATTACAGGGCCAGGTCTGGAAAAGTTACCAGTCCAGGATGTCCACATCCTATATATAATCTTTATGCAATAAAGAACTTTGTGCATAATTCTGCTATTTAAGCTATCACAGACCTTGAATATTACATATTGTTTCCCAGGCTGAGGAGATGGCTGAAGCAGCATTAGAGAAGCTTTTAGTCCCCCTGTCATCTCCAGTAGTGTGGGCAGGGAAAAAGGAGGGAGCTTTCTTTATCAGCATCCAGGCTGCTTGATGCACCCTACCCCCTTCACCATCATTCAACCCCCCCCTACTATAATGCATCCCCCTCC